AAAGTAGTGACGGAGAAAATGACCCAAATAGGATTGAGTTGAAAATTAAGATATTGAATTATACCAAGGGTGTAATATAGAAGAGTCGTAATAGGCTGCCGACTTGTAAAAGACGAAAGGAGAGTTGTGGAAAATTGAGCGGGCGAAGCGGGGGACCGGACCCCACTAGCGAACGGAGAAAAACGGGCGGAGAGGAGAGGGAAAAAAAGGTAAGCAGAGAAAAGGGGAGTGGAAGGAAGCTTTGCTGCTTAGTTTGCTTAATCTACCTAAAAAGATAGGCTGCTTTGGAAAGTACGCTGTACTCTTCTGTGTCACCACACTCTCGTACTTGTACATACAATGGCTGCTGCGATGGCAATATTTCTCGTGTGGCGGAAAGATGTGGCACAACAACATCCAATTGCAATAGGGGAAATGGTAAAAATCAATTGATACTGTCAAGCCACACACACTAACAAGCGCAAGCGCGTCACTTGACACGTGATGTCGCAACGCCGCGGGAATCTCCATTGATGCCCGATCCCATCCAATGAAATCAATTCTTAAAAATAAATACGGGGGTCGATCTGTGCCAAAATCCCCAGCTGTCAATCTTTCAATTCCCCTCGCTAGGGAATTTCTCATGTTGATCATGCTACGCAAGACCGCAAGACAACAGCGGTAGCGAGAATAGCTTGTTTTCTGTCACTTCTCTTTTACGAGTACAATACCTACTATCGTTGACCTTTAACGAATCGCAATTAATTCAATATACTCATTTAATATATCGTTCGTTCTCTCAACTTGCTAGTCTGTAAGTGGTATGCCATGCCGCCTAATTGTCTATTTATATACAGTACGCCGGTTATTGCAATCACCATTACCATGTACTGAATAATTTGGTAGTGACTTACTACCTACGATGTATCTGTTCACCTAGCACACCTAGCTCACCTTGCTAGCTAATATAGGATAAGATGGCCTAGACTGGTCCCAGTATGCTGGGAGGCTGCAAACGCCGCCATAGCGCCAGCCGTTGTTGTCCAACGTCATTCGACTAGACTCTCCCAGATTCTCTTTCAAACAATTCTCGCCCAAGTTTAGGTTGGTCTAGCCTATTCTTCTGGTAGAAATACGTAACCGTCGTTCAGCCTCTGTCAGTACGCACGAATTAAGCCTGGCGGTGTGTAAAACATGCCCACGCGCTGATCATGCCATAAAAAGGAAAAAAGAAGAGCCACAGCAGAAAATGGCGGCACTAGACTATTTAGTTGCTTACATAGGTAGTTAGTTAGGTAGGTAGTTAGCTGTCCGTCTGGAATTCACTCTGGTAGAGGTAGATCAAAATCGCACTAGCAGTAAATCAACCGAGGCCTCCCCCACGAAACACGCTGCCGCTAGTCAAAACCGCCTCGTGGGAGTGACGACAGTTGTCTTACTGCTGGCGCGGACTTATAAGCAAAAATGGGAGACAAATCACGCGAATGTCACATCAAACGGCGAACCCGTCTGTTACCGGGACAGACATGCGGGAACAACTCCCGTGGCCTGTCCGGCTGTTCATTACCGAACTTAAGACTACGTACAATGCCTTGTTTCTTTCCAAGGTTTGGCCCTTGTTGCGGGTTTTAAAAATGGCTTAACTCCTCTGAATAGGGGCTGATAATATTCTCGCCTCCTCTCTGTGGCACCATTAATTCGACAATGGTTCTAGATTGATTACCACAGTCAAAATATATTGCAATTTATTCAGGTGTGAGATGGTGGCTTGGTGGTCGTTTAGAATATTGTTCCATTCTATTCCATCTGTGGAAAATACTGCTAAGAAAATTACCTTATAACATAATGCTGCTATATTCAAACATCGCCTACTTAGTATGCACTTACCAGCAGTTAAACTTATACATACCAGGTATGTAATAGACAGATATGTCAATCCATCCAAACGACAGCCCACAATGCAAATATAAAATGATTCGCTATATGTTTTAAGTTGATATCTTGGCCTTAATACATTTTAAGCTTAATAAGTCACCTGAAAATAATTTAGTTAATGAATAGTAGACGCAAAATTCACCGACTCTCAAAAAATAGAAGATGTTTCTATGGTTGTACAGACATGCTGTCAAGCTCAGAACTATCTTAATACGAATTCTTATTCGGGATTTCTATGCACACAGAAGTCATAAGGTAGGAACGTAAGAGGTAAACACGTACGGGCAAAGCATAGCATGCACCAAGTAAACTTCCCGAGTGGTCCAAACCCTATAGTTCTGGCCGGCATAAGATACAGAGGCTAGGCAGCTTTGCGACTCCGAGGACTAGTAGAAACGAAACACCACGGCATCTACACAACGTCACGATCCACTCTCTATCCGATTCCCCCTTTTGTCCTCCATCGTCTACAGCTCCATGAGGAAATATCCCCTTTCTATAGTTACAAAACACTGTAGCAGTAAAGGAAGATATTGAAAGTGCCGCAAGCGTACATACTAGGTACATACATACACATACACCACGACTAGGACCGTTAGAGCGCATATGATGTATGCTAGGTTAGCCGACTGGTGGACTTAAACAGTAAGCATACGGTAATCGAGCAAGCCGAAAATCCCATGCTAGCCGCATCTCAATCTAGCTCAGCCGCAGGGAAGATACAGAAGCGAAGGTCTAAGTTTCTTTTTAACCAAATTGTTAACATCACGATGCATAATTACATGCGGTAGTGTATTAAATGTCTTATTATAGGGTCAAGGGCTACGCAGAGCTCGTAAGGAAAGATTATACTCAGATATTATGTAAGGCTTTAGTATACTATTTTAAAACTAAGGCGAACAAGTTGGTATAATACTTGATATTTACGAAAGGACATCGTTTAAAGAAATCCGTTTCGTCTCTTTTATTAGAGCATACCCACATGCAATATATGGAGAAAGGAGAGAAGAAGACGGAGCAATAACCATAAGGCGCGATGACCTTCGCGAAGTCTTTTAGGGTTGGACCTTGCATCAATTCTGTGTATCCTCTACACCCATGATCCGGGCTAGACTCCGTGGGGTACGTACCTTATTTCACCAGCAACAGCGGACACTGGGCAGTCAATCAATTAAAATGCATTGCAGAATTACGGTATTGCACCTGGATTGTAGGTAGTATGTATTTCTTAGTTGCACTTGCATGTGGACTGTGAACGACAAGCCCCAAAAGCCCCAGCACCCACTCTTGCAGCACGGAAGAGAGAGGGGGGTTAGAGGGGGCAACTTTTCAGGGGGCTCCATGTACCGGTACGTACCGCACAATGTGGGTAAGGTACAAGGAACTCGGAATAGAGGTTCCTAGATCTATCAGTCGCTGTTGCATTTGCCCCGGACTATCACCCCTTCCCATTATTCGACTTTTTACTATGAGAGAAGGTACCCAATGTTTAAGCTAGCTGAAGTGGGTGATTTTGTACCTTGTAGGTAGGTAAATGCTTCCCAAGCTTCCCAATTCCACATGCCCACTAATTTTTGAATTGTTGCTTCAATCGCGCGACGTTCTCCTAGTCATCTTTAACACCCCCGTGGTCAATAATAGAGATCATATCAAGCTAATACTTTCCTCATGCACAACCAAAAGAGACCAGGACCCTCCCTCTGACGGAGTTGCTGCTACCTACCTAGGTAGACACTCGGACGAGAAGGATGTACATTGTATCTAGCGCCCGGTCTTGATGAATGTACATATGTATGTATGTGTCTGTAGGCATGCATGTATGTACTTCTACTACGCAGTAAGGTCTCGTGCGGTACGTAGAGATTCTGCGCAGCGTCTATCTTTCTTCGGTGCAAAGGTGGACATTCTCAAAACACACCCCCCCTCATTCTATCCAAAGAAGCTTAGAAAACACGCCCCTCCTTCCCAGTCGTTTCTCTACATACTACATACTACATACTACATGCCTACACTACACAGGTAGAGATTCAGTCGAGCCTACCTCAGTTCTTACCTTCCGCATCTCTTGTACTCTCGTACTTTTCTCTTTTCGTCCGAACCTCTTATGCCTCTAGCCCACTCATCCACTCATCCACATCCACACAGTCTTCATCATATCTTCTATTCGCATCTCACCGACCCATACCAATACCCATACATAGTACACAGCTATATCCATACCCATCATACCCATACCATTTTGATCCATACCCATACCTACATACATATCACATACATACATAACATAGCCCTCGAGTTCCATCACTTACACCACATACCTCTTCTAATTTATGCCGCCACCGTCGTCTATCATCTACCACCACCAACTACCGTCACGATTCTCTATACCCTTGAAAGGACCCTAGCTGTTACATACAAAAACACACACACATACACACGCACACAGAAAAGCTCTACTACACACACGCACACACATACCTAATACACATATATAATAAAGGATATCCGACTAGACCGGGTCGGGCCAACATAATATTCGGAGTCAAAGACTAGAAGAGACGGAGTAAGAGAAAAGAAGAAAAAAAGAAACAAAACACAGAAAGAGAGATTTGACTATTTGGACTTCGATGAAGACTCAGGCAGCGAATTTCCTACAAGTACCACCAATTCCACCTGGAACACGTTAAAGTCGAAGTACCCACTACGCAATCTTTTAGTGAGCTGTACTATATTACTACCAGGTCACCCTTCTATCGAATCAGCTTCTACTCATATAATCCCATTCCGCTCGCTACTCACCTGTCTTCCTTTTTTACCGCTTCTTCGAATTCATTACTCTGACACAAGCCACCCCAATCTAAGCACCCCCCCTTCTTCACGATCGTTCTAAACGTTGCGCCGTGCCGTCCCCCCCTTCTGGACTTCCACGATATTTCCATCGCATAACGCCAACAGCCCACGAAAAGGCCCACGAAAAAGCAGCAACGCACGTAAGCGCAGCCACCTGCTTAAACCGACTTACACGCGGAACTTTCTATTATTTTGCGCCGTCTTTGCCTAGGTCGCTTTGGGTCGATCTTCTAACGTTCGCATGGTTCACATGGTTTACATGGTTCGCATGCTTCCACTCACCTACTAGTTATAATCCCTTGGAAGGATTCCCATTTTGGGTCCATATTGCAAATCCGTCGGTATCGCTGTCTTGCGACGGCATCTGTTTGAGTATTTTCCAGATGTTTCGCCAAAGGTGAGTTGTCCTTGATTCCGGTCACCAAGCTCCCAGCACCAACTACCTCGAGCCCTTGCATGCAGATACCTGGCTGCCAGGCTTCCGTGGGAAAATGATATGATTATCTCGTTGATGCCTTATAACCTTGTCTATGTGTAACAAGTCCTCACCCTCGCTCTACACTACTAACCAAGCTCGCGCATTGTTTAGGACTAGTTCACAGAAGCCTGGCGATGAATTGCTTGCCAACTTCCGACAACAATTTCCCGAGATCACGGCAGTAGCCTCGTCTACGGTATCGGGAGCGCCAGCGCAAACTGTGACTGCTGATAACTCGGTTCTTGTTGCGCCGGGTCCAGAACCGTATGTTGCGATCTCTCTCAGACTTACCTCGGCGCATAGTATCTCCTAACTACTCATTTATCTCTTATGACGGCATCTATAAATCTGGCTGTGAGGCGGTGCAAGCGCATCTTGGGGAAGCTTCGACAGTTCGAGCGCGGGGTATTCCGCTGACCCCCAGCTCGAATACCACTGCAGCACTAATACCCACGATCCTACAAGTAGATAGGGATCAGCGAAATAGTAAGGGAAAAAATCATAGAGCTAACCCGAAATCATTCTAGACATCAAGGTACAACTCAAGATGTATACCGAGATCAGGATCCCACACCACGGGCTTCAGGTGCGGAATGGAGGTTTACGCCTTCGTTGATGGATCCCAACTCCTTCTCTTTTAGCACCTTCGCAAACCAACCGCCGGGCTACTACACGCCTACGCCTGGCGGTACCAATACGATTTACCATCCGCAAGCAGGCGACTTGCACACCCCCTCGATGGGAATGGGGATGGGACTCGGCACCCCGCTGTCGCTTCCAACTAGCGAAGGCGCCATCCAAGCTGGACCGGCCATGATGGACCTCACCCAATTTCATCACGGTATACCGCCACACCACTTTCCGCAGCCTTTCAATCCGTTCATCCAGCCGACTCCTCCCCAACCTTCGTTTGCGCCTTCGTCATTCGTGCATCAGGACACCGGATACGAGACGATGGACCACGATGGATCGCCTCTTGACTCGGATAGCCACGAGGAACACATGGGTTCGATGGGAGCTACATTCCATTCGCAATCACCACCTAATATGCTCGGTTTCCAACATAGACATTTTGGAGCGCCCATGACCCACTTGTTACCCCCTTCGGCTGATAAGTTCCGTTTCCATTCGACATTAAACGCGCCGACGGCGATGATCAAACACGCCGACGAAATCCCAGTAACATACCTAAATAAAGGCCAAGCCTACTCACTAGCAGTAATTGATACAGCGGGTACTTTACCCATCGCACCCGGTACCAAGTATCGAACGTTCGTGCGCATATCCTTCGAAGACGACCAACAACGGCAAAAGCCGGGCGTCTGCTGGAGTTTATGGAAAGAGGGCCGAGGGACCAACGAGGCGCATCAACGAGGCGGCAAGTTACAAGCAGTTGAGTATGTTGAGGCCGGGCAGCCCGCAGAGGGCGATGATAAACGCACCCGCATTGAACTAGAGACCGCTTCCTTCGACGGCTTCTCGGTTGTTTGGACTCCTGGTTTAAATGGTGCTGCGGAATGCAATATCGCAGTTCGCTTCAACTTCCTTTCTACCGATTTCAGCCATTCCAAGGGAGTTAAAGGCATCCCGGTAAGACTTTGCGCTAAGACTACTGCCTTGTCATCGAATGATTCACCACCCTTGTCAGACCCTGCATTCGAGATCTGCTACTGCAAGGTCAAGCTATTCAGGGACCATGGAGCGGAACGGAAGCTCTCTAACGATGTCGCCCATGTTAAGAAGACGATTGACAAACTCAAGCAGCAGATAGCTCAAGCAGAAAGCGGGGCCAAGGATTTCGGAAAGCGCAAACGGGGTGGCGGTTCACATGCAAAGGGACAAGAGCATCAACGTCCAGGGAAAGCACCGAAGCACAAGAGAACATGGTCGATGTCATCAGCTAGCTCCGGTGGCGGGGGCGGGCGACCCTCGCTCGAAGACGACTTGCACTTCAAATTACAAACACTACAGGATATGTTCACAAGCACCCGACCGGTGAGCATCTTGTACTTGCGCGGCGACGACTTGGATGATCCGGACTTACATCCGGTGAGCCTACCTGGTGAACCTACTGATCTCACGAAAGTCGAATCAAAGGATGGCCCTGCGTGGCGTAGCGGGCGAAGTTCAGTTACTGGATCATCGCTTGTCTCTCCTTCGCCAAGTTCCATGTCACTACATTCGCAATCAGCTAGCACGAACCAATGGAACGACTTTACAAGTGGTGGAGACGCGCCAACCGGAAGACGACCGTCCGACAAGCCCGTTAAGGTCCGCAAAGTAGACGATGATGGAAACCTGAGCGGCTGGATAGAAGTGCTGGAAGTCGATCCATTATACAAACCACCCACCGAAAGACCTGCGAAGCCCATCGCATGCTTCTATGTCGCCCGACGATACCCATCCGAACCCGAAAAACGCGAGCTCCACCGAGCAGTCTACCTAACTCGAAGGACAACATCGGAGTTTGTGTCTCGAATATCGACCAAGTGGGCCATCGACTCCTCAGCCGTCGTACGGGTCATCCATGTCCTTGAAAGCGGGCTAGAAGTGGAAGTAGACGACGACGTAATTCAAGCATTATCGGAAGGCCAAGATATGACACTCGAAATTGCTGAGGTGGATCGAAGCATACCCCAGCCTAAGCAGGAATGGGAAATGATGACTGTTGAACGGTCCGAAGGCGACCGTAACTCACAACACAGCGTATTTCGCACAACAACGGGCTACGAACTACGACTTACATTTTAAATTCTATTGGCGCTTGGTAAACATTTGACGAGGATTCATTTTATTTTTTTATTATTTCAAGGATTATATTCTAGGGCTGGGAGACCATCATCCGGAACCGGGGTCTACCATCATCATATCTATTGACGAACATGAGTACTTATACCCAGCGAACCTCCGGCGGGATTTTGATTTATTACATCTGGCGTTCGAGCGGGGCATGAAAAGATACCATCCCCTTAGAGGGCAGCTCTGTTTCTCCACGTCTCCTTTGTTGTGAGGGACAAATGTTGGATAATTTTTTTAGACTGATGATGCTACCTACACATACATTAGAGGGGATTATGGCTTGTATTAACAACAACTTTTTTGATGAGGGGAGGGGTGGCGCTTATCAGAACGCTACCCCCAAGCGAAATTCTTGGGGCTTGGAATATACCCAGTTGGATCATATGTACCTGGCTCCCTAGGAGCACGAGATCTTTTGGGAGGAAGGGGATATTGGAAAGGCGGCAGGTCAACCAGGACGGCCCGGTCCTATTGTATGCGGAGTGCACCTTATTGGATCACTCGGTGGGACTTCATCTTCAGCACTACACTATTCTACACTAGTATATTTTATTTGTGGCGAAGGGTCTCGTGATACTGGAACTAATAGTATACATAATACATACAAATAAGAGATGTCTAATGCGGATGTCATACCACCGAATCATTTCGCGATTCGTTCATCTCATCTCAGTGTCCCCTCGATCGCGATGGTACAGGCCTTGTAAACATCATACATACCATGCCGACCACAGCAAATACCGCCCAACGCTGTCCGATACATACCCAACTAGGCTTAGTCGGATGACGAGGCCTTAATCTCCTAGAAGCAATCGCCAATCTGTCTGCGACAGTGATCTCGATCGGGACTATGGTCTTAGTGTATGTAGGTGTATGTAGGTGTATGTACCTTAATTTCATGACATTAGCTGATAATTAGGTAGTTATGTTGTATTTATGTATTTCCCCGTGCTGGCCGTGCTGTCCGTCGTCGTAGGATTCGCTCACCTTGCCGCGGTGCACCCCTTAAAACAGTTATTTCATTAAACCGATTTTAGCAGTACCAAGACAACATCGAAACTTTAAATGACGGCTTCTCCCTTACCCACGGTCGCATTGCATATTGAAAGGGCTGAAGACCTGAGGGCCTAGAACAACATTGGGGTACATTAGCTATGTATTGGTTTAGATATGGTTAGCATTGGTTTGGAGAGGCTTATTAAGGCGTAACGACATCCTTGCTAGCTACTATCGGCGCAATTGCTCAGGTCATATTTAGTAGGCTAGAATGCCCTAATGGGAGGGAGGTTAGGTATCATCAGCTGTTCAGGCGTCTACTGGGTATAGGAAAGAAGAAAACGAAACGAAAAAGAAAATAAAAAAAAGTAAAAGGAAAAGAAGGCTACGATAGCCTAGAGTACACGGCAAAATACGACGGCATAATGATATGAATGACGGGAAGCGCCGAGTACCAGATGATCAAGCACAGGCTATTTGATGGATGTTTTGATGAATGTTAGAGGTTTGTGATAGAAAAGAGAAGTTTACTGCAGTGGACCTAATGTAGGTAATATTATGCGTTAAATGCCGGTACTTGGCTGCCGTCTGTATCTACAAGGTACTTAGAGTAGCAACGGACCAGATTTGTAGCGGTCGAAATGGCTGTGGCGTTTGTAAGTGGCTGGACTAGGTAATTCTGGGGCTGTTTCGAAACACGGCTGGCAGCTGGAGGCCCTAGAATGTTTAATCCGCCCCGCACAGGAAGGCGCGGAACTCCGGCACCAAGATACTGGGTTCCTTCTGCAGGTGATTCTGGGCGAGCTGGACCGCTGAATTGATTCTTCCCATCTCCAGCCTACAGTACTAGCTCGCAGCTGCCACAATCTGACACAATCTCACAATCGCACAATCTGCCCCTCCTACTAAAACAAATCTCAAAACTTATTACAAGGGTCAATGGCTTTTTGTCATTTCTTCCCTCTTCAAATGAAAACAATGAAAACATCATCACACCCCCCGGCAACTCCGGGAATTAAGAGAATAAACGATATAAACGAAATAAACAAAATGACCCGAGAAAAAGAAAAAAGAAACGAAACATCTGATACTTACAGCATACTCCTCATTTAGGATGGCTTCAAGGATGACCTCATTTTAAATCTGAAGCAAAATCCCCCGATCGCCCCCTGTCTTCATCGTAGTAGTCTAACAGCCGATGCTGTTTGTGCAATTTGTTGTTGTTAATGCGTCCTTTTACATGAGGAATTTCTAACTGATCTCGTCAATGTTATCATCGCTTTCGTTGTGGGGTTGATAATCTCGGTGAGAGGGAATAAGGCTATGAGAAGGGATCATGGGGGGGTCATGAGATGAGGGAGATGCCGAGCGACAATACAACGATACCGCAAGCGTCATTCCCTCGTTAGGCATCAAAAACAACTCATCAGTTATATCGGCAAGACTGTCGGCTTTCCTAATCAAACTAGTTAGACGATTTACACCGCTGTCATATCCATCTATTCCTCTAACGCCTCATTCACCGTATCGTCATCATTTCCCCGATCCCAATATGGATTCGCCCTTCCACTTACCTCCCCGGCCTAAACGTGGGATATGGGGGGCATGGGGGTATTGGGACAGAATAGCGTCAGAATAAACGGGCCATGTATTAATACTACTGTATTACACTGTGAGTCAACTATCCCCTGGATCATCTAACTGGGCAATTAACAATTTTTCTTCAACACCAGATAGTCTAGGGGATAGTCAACTCACAGTGTGTCACAGTCGTATTAATACATGGCTCACTTATTCTGACGCTATTCTGTGGGATTGAATCGATTGACGACTTGACGTTGGGAACTCTAGCCCAAGAAAGCCACAAATGATGATCGACGTCTGGGTTGAACTGGGGCAGTGCACACGGACCTCTCTGGACAAACTCCACAGCGCTGTGGCGAGTGGTTTGCGCGTTCCGCATAGTGATCCAGTCACTGTACGACTTCATATGCGGCTATCTCGTGCCACCATCGCCCAAATAGACGGGCTTACTTTAGATGCCGTGGTACATAAATCTTGAGGTTGTCGGAACAGATGTTATCCTGGCCACCAAACCCCCCCTCGGACATGCGGTACTCCTACCAGGATGGGCTCATTTCCAACCCACGTTTCTAGACTGTGACTGATGTACCTGTGCAGCTGTGTTGATATGCAGATATGCTAATACTAGACTGACTGCATACATGTTCAGGTTCGACCAACTCGCGGGACCTTACCTACGTGGGAGACATGCAGGAACCGAAATTCCTCCAGCTACATAGCTCGGCTCTGTATTGTTTCCCCGAAAAGAAATCGATATGAAACTCCCGAGTGAAATTTTCTTTAGGAATCTTGAAAATCTTTTAGTAAGGGGGAATTTCTATGGCATCCTGTCGCCAAATTTCCAGTTTCCGTACCGGCATCTATCAAAAACTAGCATTTATCCTACTCTTTCCTATCGTCTCCAAGTTCGACTTGCGCTCGAGAGGAATTTACGTCCTTGGATGATTAGCGATCAATTATAAATTGAACAGCGCCAATAGCGTTTAGTCTCGGGCAACACATATTCGCTGTGCTACCGGCTGGGAAACCAGTCTAACCGACACAGCATCCATCTTACACCCCCATCCGTGTTACCGAGCATAAAGATGAAGAGAATGTGTGTCAACATATGTCAACGCAGAATGCATAATCATATGGCTAGGCGCAAAACGGCAGTCAGCATTTTTAGCATCCAGCTGAACAAAAAAATTTATCCACCGTCTCATTACATAGTAGGGCGATAAGTCGCCAAGTGCATCGACGATCGAGGTAGTTATCAGCTGGCTTCACATGAAATTTGGCGCCGTCCTCGGCCTTTACAGCGCATCGCATTACACTACAGCATGCCTAACTGTTAGGGACTGCCAGCTGGCATGTGCGCTGTAAAGGGTACGAATAGCGCTTACTTAGGCCCCTAAAGCTGCAGCTAGCAGCGTCCCTTGTAGCGCGTGCAGGCGTGGTAGGGAAATTTTCGCTACAGCTTACCATTGGGAGTTTATTGGGGTCCTGCATCATGCAGCTGTGACGCGCTGCGAGCCCCGGTCCGGTCGCCCTGTTAGTGGCCAATTTAGTGGCCAGTCCAGCGACCGAAGTACTGGTACTTACAATGACAATCACTATTAGGGGGGGCTCACTCGCCACAGTCTGTCTAGGCCTACGGGAGGCTTGACCCCGGTAACGACCCCGAGACTCACCACAATTCCCGATCAAATATACCGGAGCCGACCGGTAGAGGAAGTTGCGAAGGGGAGGTTTGCGATCGTACTATCCTTAGGCATAACGGCGATGCGTTGGTAACGAATCTAGACGGCTTCGACATAAGCAAGGCTCGGCCACCTTCCAGTCGGAATTGGACCTACCGACTGATTGTCGCACGCGCATGCGACTTTCCGAAGGGCTTGAGGCGTGTCGACACAAACCCTCTCAGGAACAGGCCGATCTGGACAGTATGGAGGCCTCCCTTCGGCCACGTGTAGTCGCAATCTACGACATCCGCATGTCTCATCTAGAACCGGGTCCAATAAGATTCTCGAAGCGGTGTTTATTTCAGCTGGCCAGGGAGGTCGAGTTGCACAAGCGAAGTGAGTCCGGGACGGATAGGTTATTCATTCGGCACAATTTAGTACCACACTCGATCATTGCCACCTATCTCTTCTCGCGCTACGGTCCCTGCAGCAGCCACGACCGCCATTGAACTACCGCAAGTGTCTCTAGAACCAATGATACTTCTAAAAGAAAGACTTCCTAGGAGGGAGAACATGGTTCGAGGGGGATACTCAAAATTACAGAGCTCGGCATCGCCACAGAAATACGCGACGACCCCAGAATAAGGTGGTGAGCCACAGGTTATCGCATCACGCCCTGGGGTAGCTCCCCTTTTAGGCGATCTTAGTGTGACGATACAAAGCGGTCGCGGCATACTAGCCACATCATTTTCACGCAGGATATCGACAAAAAGGGACGCTGGAGATGGATATTGACGAATGAATGCTGCTGGAGCGGGCAAACTTGCCACTTCATGAGCCACAGGGCAGAGAGACTTCTGGATAGAATGGCCTGTCGCGATAGCCAATGACAGGCCTCTATCAGGTAGCAAACTTTCCTCATCCGGCAGTCCTCCGCATTCGCCACAGGTCCGCGAAGTACACGGGTGTTGCTCTTCGTCTGCAATGGCACCTACCTAGCTGGAGACGTCGAGCATTGCCCTTTGTCGGGGGCTGACCAAAGCCTACTGCTACTTCTACCTACAGGAAGGCTGACTACGCGTGCCACAGTTCGCCACAGCGCCGTCATGGTGGTGCACCGCTCTCAGTCGAGTCGGACAGAGCAGAAGAGAAAACGCGAGCGTTATTGGGCGACGCGCCCCCCTTCGAGATGAATGACGACAGGAAGTGGCTAGTGCGGCGGTGAGAGAGGAGCTCACCCACTCTGCTCACCACCACAGCGATCGGCGGTCTGGTTTCCCGTTTCGGGAGGTCCGCACACGTCGAAATCGGCACTCAGGTCCGAGGGTGCGCCGGCACTTATTGGATCCGCTCTTGCCCTCGATTTTACTATGTAGTGACCGCCTGAGTGGATAGGGCCGACGTACGTCATGATGCGATGGGCTGGTGATCATGACGACTTTTGATCTTTCGTTTATCTGGGACTCTTCTACCTGTCTAGGTATCTATATCTGTATACGAGGTTTGCTTTGATTTCTGTTTGGGCACTGATGGCGAGATCTCTGAGTGACACAGATAAGGCGGTAAGGCTGTATATACCACGTACCTATGTATGGTCTATTTATACATATTCTAATATCGTGAAGATAGGGAGGTTGGTTGGTATGGAGGTAAGTAGATGCGATTTAGTTGGGCTGAATTATTTCTCACGAAGATGGACTTGGGGAGTGACGTCATACCTGAACATATGATTATGGGTTTTCGACGGTGAGAGAATCGGGATTGTTAAGGTGAAGAGATTTTAGGCTGAATTGCCGCGGCTTCGAATGCTACGTCGCGACTAGCCGGTCGCGCGGGCCGAGGGAGAGGAAGAGGAATTGATGCCGATTTAAGGGTTAGACTCATGTTGATGCAAATTAGGTACCTACCTAGGTAGGTATAAGGTAAATATTGCGGAAGACTTCATTGACGTCACTGTAGGTGGTTTTATCTTTATGGCAATATTTTCGTCTATGTCTATAGTAAGTATCTAGCCGAGTATCTATTCCTCATCAATTCGTGAGCGCATCCGATGCAACATGGAGCGATTGAGTAATCCAAGCTCCTACCTAAACCAATACACCTCGCCAATCTAACCCAAAATCTAGCGATAGTCTATCGAGATACTAGTCTTTTGGCGAACAAGTAGCGATGATTTGAAAAATCAAGGAGCAATTGATGATAAATGCCGAATGTGCAAGAAAACCGGCGCATTCTTAACTTCACAACACCCTCATCCAGGACAAGTTCAAAACTCACATCCCAACCAACGACTGTATCACCACCGTCATCGGCGGAATCGAGGTGAAAAGAACCGTAATGGTGCCAAACAGGCTCATCGACAGGATTGAAAGCGCCGCGGCTCGGGGATCGGTACGCAGCAGCAAAGCCGCCGCAATAGCCGATGAATTGGCACCGAGGGTTACGCCACGGGTCACATAATCATCTGCATCGCACACCCAACATTAGCTTTCCATCCCAATATCTCAACAACAACAACAACAAAATATTGCCATGTAGGTAGGGACAATAAACAAAACTCACCCTCCGGAATCCTCAACCAGCCCAAAACCCTCCGTCCAACCAGGACGCCCAGGATCCCACTCATGATCGCCAGCGCCGCAACCGTATTCACATCGCCGCCCAAATTCGCCGTCGCCGGCACCGCAAGCGCAAGCGTCAGGCTGCGGGCCGCGAAGGCGAGACTGCGCGGCGCGCTGATGCCGATGGCGTGGCAGATCGGCGGGTATGCGAACAGCGAGCCGATGCTGATGGCGATGGTGGGGACTAGGATCGCGGTGAGGTGTTGTCGGAGTTCGCGGCGGTATTGGTATACCGGCAGCGCGAAGGAGATGATGGAGGCGTCGAGGATGGAGGCGAATATGTCGCCTGCGCCGGGGGGTGGGAGGGGGGTTGTGGTGCGGGGGCTCCAGAGAGTGGTGTAGGAGGTTCCGGTTTTGTATTGCGTGAGCACGGTGCTGAGGGAGTGGGTTTGCGGGAGCGCGAGGATGTAGATGGTTAGTGCTGTGAGGAGCGAGCATAGGAGCACGGGGTGCAGGTAGGTGCGCCAGGTTGGCGGGAGGGAGGTCGCGAACATGTAGGTTAGGATGTTGACGGTTAGGTGTAGCGGCATGGCGTAGTTCGTTGTGTAGTATACTGGCACCCCGACGAGGAGGAAGAGGGTGCTGTAGGTGAGGAGGTCGAGGCGCGTGGTTAGTATTGCGGCCCACCGGACCGAGCGGGATGGTGGGATTGGGGCTTGGGGTGGGAGGGTTGGGGGCTCGGCTTCGGGGCTTGGGGTTGTGGGGGGGGAGGGTTCTGCTCGATGGGCCGGGGCGGCGTCTTGGGATGGTAGCGGGCGTTGTAGGTCTACCTCGTCTGATGACAGTTGGTCTGAGATCTCTGCTGGGGTGGAGGTCCCTGCGGATGCTGGTAAAGTTGTCATAGGTATCTCGTCGCTACTAGGGTTGAGCTCTTCTGCTCGTGCTGTCATGGCTCTTTTTGATGATCCTAGAAGAAGCTGGAGGGCTCGGGTCATGTATGCTGCGAGGCCCATCATGACGACAAAACCAATTACTATGTAAGGGTCAGCAAAACCGAATGTTAAGTCAATTAGGTCGTCTCATTACTTACTGAAGACAGCGATTATCTTGAGGACCTCAATTCCCCCTATTGATGGACTCAGGGGTAGTAGAACGAATGAGGGTGTGAACAATACATTGATCCATCGTAATGCCCACCCGCCCTGAGATGCGTGTCAATCCCAAAGTCTTATGAAGAAATAGTAGTGACATGACGTACTGGAATTTCAATAACACCAACGATGCGCTTCGTCCGATGCTCGCCGAGCACTTGTTCGGATAGTAGCAAGGCCAAGAAAAGAATGACGAGACATGCTACCGACGACGGAAAGGCCACAGACCCAAGTCCAAATAACTTGTTAACTCCGAAGCAGGCCAATAGCATTAGAATTATTCCAAATGGCACATAGAGCCATGCTTGTATGATGTTGTGCCGAGAGTGTCGGAATGACTATGATCGAGTTAGCTAGTTGTATGTGTGTAGAATATGAGGTCATACGATTTGTACTGCTGATAGCAGGTCATCTAGCGCTTGTTTACGCACGGTCGCCATCTTAAGGGTCTCATTGAAGCTAAAATAATCGAATTAATATAATATATTCCCTACTTTTACCTTGAAGTTCCCAAGAGAGAAGATATTGTCGCTGACACGGATATGCGGGTGTTTATATAATATGGCCCTCGGTAGCGATCTTATGATTATCATGGGCAACTACAGAATGAGCCATACTAATGGATTTACGGCGTATTTACCGCATATTTACCTAGGTAAACCGCTAGATATTTCAATCGCTAGCGCCGATCTCGGCCTGGTCGATGACCTTCACTTTAGCTTACTAACTCATTGACACATCGCATCGATTTTCATTGCTATCTCAGAGCAGGTTGTGGCCAGCATAAGCCACGATCTTTTATCATACATTTGTATCTCAGAGGACATGGAAAACTGAGAATTGCACATCTGTTTTTGGGGAAATTTGGGGCAGAGAAAAGGGGAATAATCGGAGGTGGGTACATGACTTCCATGATTTCCATGACTTCTTCGAAAATCATAGCATAACGGGGAATCAAAGCAGATAATCAGTCCAGGGGCAATGTCCCAGATGTGCACCTACTCGTGTAGGACCTGTGGACGTTCATTCATACTGGCGCCTTTATTACCGGCCAGCTCGCCGCCTCACGGCCAGTCGCCTTTCTGGACTTGATCGGACGAGTTGCGAGAGGGTTGATATCCTTCTGGTCGACGAAGATAAGCAGGCCGAGTTCAACCTTGTTAATCCTGTGTCCAAGGTTCGGGGTTCTCTCCTGCGCCGCCCAAAGTTCCTCGAGCTTGCGGAAATGCCTCCAGAATTCATCGTGTACGGTCAAGACATGGCTGTCGCACTTACGGACTTCGTAATAAAAGTGCTCCATGTCTTCGAAGCTTGCTAGGTTCTCGCGTCGGGCGGTATCTATTTGTTGTGAACATTTATTAGCATGCGCATTACGCGATAGGAGACGTGGGGATGCTATAAGTGGCTTGTTTTTCTCAAGGGGAGAACTTACCTCGGAAATTCTCGTAAGTGCTCTTCAAGTGGTACGCAGAAGCTTGCTTTCGAGTCATGCGAGGCTGGGTAAGGAGACTATTGTTGCCCTCGTTCTTGAAATTGCCCTCGTGGTCTCGCTTACCGGTTGTGATTTGGACCGATTCGATGGGGCGGAGGTGTTCCAGAGTTAGCTTCATGATGAAGAAGAACTTCTTCATGTCAGGGAAGTAACTAATAAACTTGTCTAGCAAGAGAGGGCAAAACTTCAAGTCGCAGCGGCGGGGCAGATCGCCGCGGCACTGGAAAGGCGGATCTTTGTAGACACCATCTATATACTGGTAGTCATACTCCATGGATACTTGCTTGATACCAGCAAATACGTGTTGGTTTCGCACCGGTCGAACCCAGCTGGCAGTGACACGGCCAATGAATTGAATGCAGATCACTACAACAACAGGAGTCAGTAATTATTTTGAGGAAATAGTTACAGGGGGGTTTTGCACGCCTTGGGGATTAAAACTTGATATCACTTACTATCGAGGTCGCGGAGGATGAATGCGCGATCCTTTGTCTTGGGAGTATCCTTGAACGGCATTCGGGGCCACATCTTCTTGGAGGAAGGTCTTCTGAAGAGACCCATTATCGCCCTCTCTGATGCTGCGTCGATTTCCATGAGCTTGCTGCGCTGTCGCCATGCAGAAGGATCGTATGCCTCTGGTTCCGCAGGCATGAGCTGAGGAGTTTGTGTGTTGATATCACCAAGAGGCATGGCATCAGCATAGCGATCGACATACAGCTGGAAATAATGCATGCCGGGGATCATCGCGGCCTGGTCCCAGACCTCGAGCTTCAGCTCGTTGCAAAACTTCGGGTAGATAGACATAGCTATTATGTCTACTATGTTAGCATGAATAATTCTTGATCATGAAAGCTGGTGTCATACCTCTTAGTAGTTGGGTGTCAAGACACGCACAACTTGGCAGGGTAAGTTAAAGCTTTCTTGTTTACCACAAGTGCAAATCTTCACAAGATGTAATGCCTAGCAGGTCATTCAATAGTAAGAGGCGAGACTCGGACTAGAAAATGCCAACACGTGTAAAAGTAATGGCAGCGTGTTATCAACAGAGGTAGACACGAGTAGATGCCTTTCTGTTGATGAATGGTAAATGAACGTGAAAAAAGCGATTTCAATGAAAAAAATTCAGGAAAGCACGTAGCAGAAGCGATTAAACGTAGAAAATGAGCGAATGGGAATGAGAAAGCCCTGATCTCCCTAGTTATTCCTGGAAAGATCAAGGCCAGAGTGATGGTGATGAAGGAGAGGAAATGTGAGGTGAAAGGTTTGAGAGATGGGAAGAAAATATTTTACAGAATAGAAAGGTAGGAAACTACCTAGGACCTAGTAGGTATCACTATCGTTGCTTTCAATATTTACCTGCCGTTCTGCCCTAGATACCTGTGTTTCTTGAGTCTGTGAGATATCTTGACGATGAAAACTTGAAGGTGGTGATTTACTAGTCGTAACTCGCCGTAAGGGGTAAAGACGCCGCAAGGGGGAAAGAACTCAACGAAAGAGCAGCGAGAAACCGGCGCGGAAGGGACGGTATAGGCGGAGAGGAAGTATCGGGCATAGCGGCGAGGAACCAATAATAGAAGCGGCGAATGAGCGGCCAGTAACTGGCGAGGAAATTGCAATAGATATCATATAAGCAATATCCATAGTCTATTATGGGGCTAGACTTAAGGAAGCCGCACTACGAGGCCTAGGAATAAACGGGGCGTTAAAGGGGATGTGATTTCCTTAGACGTTTAGAGTCTATTATTATGTAGATGGGAGAAATTCGGATAGATATCTCTTGCTGATAGTCTATTAACAGAAGATATCTTATGTCACAGTCTTCTGCTCAGCTTCTGATCTCAATAATGATAGATCCATGGACGGGAAAGGCACCCTTGGCCGAGACCCCTTTGAGTCAATAAGATGAATACCTGTCAAGGAAATTCACATTTAGGATTAGTTATAGGACGAGGAAAGTTGATTCAAACATGAACTTCACGATAAACTATTATAACTTGTTCAGTGAATGTCGCTACCTAGTTATAGGTTATTTATAGGTACATCAGCATACATCTTCTATTATGAGTAGAGCGCAAGTGATTTATTAAGTACCTAGGTAGGTTGGAATTCAGTTAAGCGTATGAGATATCTAACTTACGTGCACTGTTTTGGGTAGAGTTGGCTGGCAAAAGATTGGATAGCTACTAGGTGTATACTCCGCTCTTGTCAAAAATTTCCTGCACCTGTTGTTAGCGCCCTTTATATATTGCTAAATTGGAAAGAACAATCATCTGAGGAAGTTTACAAGCCAATGATTATTATAGATATATAAATTATAATTTCAATGAGCATTATCTGATATTTAGGTATGTAATTACTAATCAACATTGAACTTGGTATGTTTGCTACAAAATTAAGCGTAGGTAGGTATCTATTAGTTATAATGAATCTGAATCAAGACGTAGATAGGGAGGGTCTTAATGCTATTGTGGATCGTTAACTAATTTATAGTAATATAAAATATTTGCAGTTGCGGTAAACTTATTTCAGGTCTGGCTAGGTAGTTGCAAAGAAATGTTGATATTGCGGAACTGTGAATGTGTAAATAGGGGTTGTGGTGGAGACGGTCCGAAAGATGATGCTCAATATCTTCTACCGTTTTATTTTCGTGTGTACTATATGTATGTTGAATAGAACTTAGGAATAGGTAATGATAAGGGTTGAATTAATTGATGAATTGCGAAGACCAGCTATTACAATAAGACGAACCACAAGGTTTTGTATATCAAACTCATAGGGGTCCCGAAGGCATCTTGTATAGCACTATAGAATCATTCCGGCTAATCAACTACGAACGAGTGATACCATACCATCTGAGAATTTGCATCATCACTTATCACGACAAAGCAGCATCCCAAATCACCAAACCGGCGACACCCTCAAGAAATTGCTTCTACCCCATCGAATGCATTCAGTATTTTAACTCTACATAGTCATACACATTCACTCGACCCCCATCCCAACCAACACGCCCTTCATAATCAGCCAGCCCCAACCCATCAAGCACCAGCAACCACAGCCAAGCTCTCATAAATAGTCCTCTTGACAGCGTAGAAAGTGCCGCCGAGCTGCGTAGCCGGGCCGCCGTCCGTTGGGAGACCGATGCTTTCGACGTCGATCCTGCCTGCAGTAGTCTTGCGCACGACCACGGACCCGTCGATCAGCAGGGTACCCTCACCTCTAAATTCCGCCGTGTGGCCTGACTGCTGCATAGCCTTTCTCAGATCGGCCAGCCTCAGGTCGCCGACGTGTAGGGGTTGGGCGACGGACCTAGTCGCCGACGCCATGTTCGTGGGGAGGACGTCGAGCGTAGGTTCCACGGGCGCTTCCGTATCCGTCTTTATTTCCGCGAGTTCGTTCGACTCCCCCGTTTTGAGACGCTTGTTTGCCGCGTCTTCGTCTTGGCGCGCTGCTAGCTCCTTGTGCATTGCCAGTAGCCGGCCGGTAACCGTGGCAATGCTTAGTCCGCGAACGTTCTGCCACTTGAGCTGTTTGACGAGGGTAGGGGCGAGCTTAACCACCCAGGCATTCGTGTCCACGCTTGCGTCTATTGGTACGCCCACGGCTGGTGTGTAGATGCTAACAGACCCTTCAACTAGTAACTTCTTGCAATCCGAGGCCAGGGTAATGGTTTCCCCTTTATTGCCGCCGATGAGGATGAGCTTGCGGGGTTGAATCAGGGGAATCAACATGTGCAAGCTTCGCTTATCGTGAATACCGCTGAGATCGATGAATTCAACTTCGAGGTTGACTGCTACGGTTGTCTTTGTAAAGACTAGCTTGGAGGGGCCAAGGTTCGTCTCGTCTGGGTCATCGGGAATACCATCGAGCTCATCCTCAATGGGACCATCGGATGCTGCCATTTCAAAATCGTCAGTAACGCTACGCGTGAGATGCGGCCGTTTCGACGGTCCAGAGCCTTGGTTCTTGGCATTAGCAGCAGCGTTATCCCATTTCCGCTTCTTCCCAAGCTTTTCTTGATCCTCGTCTTTCCCTGCCTGTGCTAGATCCTGTGCATCATTATCATCCCTTTCTTCCGCTCGGAGGAAGTCCTCGGGTCGAATGAGTTCGCCGTAGTCATCGGCGCGCTTTCGACGAACCGGATGCGGAAACATTCTATCTCGACCCTTTTTATTCCTAACGTCAAAATCGTAGACGCCCTTCTTCTTCAACAGGACATTGATGCCGAGATCTTCGTCTGTTAATGCAGCCTTTTTCCTACTCGCCTGTCCCATCGTGGTCGCAACATTTAAAGCCCTACCCTGTTGTTCATTATCGGAATCTTCTGACTCTGATTCGGATTCGGAAGCTTCATCGCCGACATCCTCAGTTGACTCAAGAGTGCTAACTCCTCCACTCTGAAGAGTGGTCTGAAGTTGACGTTGCTGCGCTAGCCACTGTTGATATATAGCTAGATCGTTGCCTTGAAGAGCCTGCCTCTTCGCTTCCGTAAGTTGGAGCTCGTGTCTGGTTTCGCCGTTGGAACTCTCAATGGAGCCTTCCTGACCTTCCTTCCACCATGTCCACAGGCTCCGAGCTAGCGAAGGATTCTCTTCGGAAACCAAGGAGGGATACTCAGTCAGGATGACCATATTCTTCGGATCCTGTGCAATTTGCTTTAATACATCTTTGGAGAACCCCCACTCAAGTGTAGAGTCGCTTGCGAGGATAACCTTGCCAACAGGAATATCCTCTCCCGTCTCCCCACCAAGTATCTTGCTGATTTGGCCCCTTCTATCGAGTAACTTTAGGAATCGGAAATCGAACGGACCAGCCTCTTTGTTCGATTTAGAGCCATCTGTCGTACCATTAACTCGCTTAGTTCCATCGACAACGGCCTCGAACTCCCTGACTATACTATCGTCCATCCACTCGAGCATGCTACGCGCATATCTCATAGTGCTATGAATATTGCGACCCGCGAGGTAAAGTTTGGCGGACTGAAGCTGGCCATCACCGGTTGTTGCATCCGCCCGCCACGCGTGATCCATCAAGTATGCCAATTCCAACACTCGAGCGCTGGAGTCGATGGGAATTAAAACGGTACCTCCCCGCGTAATGCAAGACCTCACCTTATTTAACAACTGCTCATCTCGTTTGCTCCGGCCGCCGGAGATGGCAGTCTTTTCGCCTCCTCTACTGCTACAAACCAAAGCAGTTGGCTTCCGCAACTGTTCAATAATCTCGGCACCCCCTCCTCCAGCACCACCCAGCCAAGCCGCTCCGGCAAACACATTTTCACGTCCCTGGTTCCAATCAACAGCATATACGATAGACTCTAAACCATGTTGTATATGCCATATGGTACCACCCAGAGTACGCCCTGAATTATATGCTGTTATAGTAAGACCGTTCAAAGGGGGAGAGAACGGAGAACCGAGCGGCTGGTGTGGTTGAGAATATTTAAGAGGATGGATTATGGAGAAATATGTCGCGATTTCCTCGGGGGTAGGAGCTTGCAATAGGATATCGGAAGACGAGGACTGTTGTGATGTATACGAGACTTCGTCAAGAGAGCTAGGTGGAATTGTTGTGGCGGCGAGAGGAGTAGAGGCGTATAGGTCCTGAAGCAAGGTTCGGCCGAGTGCAATGACGGGAGATGTCGCATACACCGGGACACGAGTGAAAAGAGGAAAGTGTTTACAGCAATGAGCATAGGCAGCTATATGGTTTGTGGTGGCATGCGTAAGAAGGATAAGAGAGAGCGTTGGCACTTGTCTATAAGTAATAAAGGTTAGTGGTTAATTTTTAAGCAACTACATCTAAGCAAGCATCGCAAGAATATCATGGGAATATTATAGGAATGAGTATTATACTAAGCATTCGAACATACTTCTCTAGTTCCCTAAGCTTTGCGACATCGAAGGACTCATCCCAGCCAACATCAACCAAGACCTTGATTCCTCCATCTAGCTCGAGGATAGATTGCGACGAAGCTGATTCAGAGAGCGCTCCTTGTAGTGAGCTGAAGGTAAACATCGCTGTGTCATCGTACTAGAAAGTCATCTAGAAAGGATCTTCCGGCACCGTTTAAATCGCGTATCCTGTAAATTGGCGTACTATTCGCGATGGAGATTTACGATTGGCAATCGGCGATACCAAATGTCGAAGATGATATTGTTGCAAGTTGCAAGTAGTTGTATGTAAAAAGAATGAGATCTTTCGAACTTGGTCGCGTATCAAAGACGGGTCTGTCATGACCCACTTGGTGAGTGATAGGTACATGGGTACCTATCTAAACAGCTGTTGTGGGTATTTAAAGCTGAAGGTAGCAAGCACGAGCTGCTGCTAAACTGATTTCGTAGTAGTCTTGGAGGTAAGTGGACCGCTGATTGACAGCCCTGGAAGTTGGAAGGTGCCCACTACAAAATACATTCATAGCATACCGCGACTGAAATATTATCGGAAAATCCCCGGAATGTTATCGTGTCAATTCCATCAATTCCATAATTCATCATCAATTGTCCGTTTTAATTGACCCCTGGCTGCTTCTACTATGTCCATGCTCACAACCCATCTTGGCTATGATTTCAGATGTTAATATCGAAGCCGTGACCTCAAAAGACGAGACTTGACACGACGTGACGCCACAAGTCTTCTTAGCTAAATCAACTAACGAAGGGACTAAACTGACAGCTTGTCCTCTTACCTTTCTTTTCTTAGGTAAATCGCCTCTAAATGTCTGTCTAATCGTCATCTTGTAAATACGCGATACCATGGAACATTCAAAATCTTTATGATTTGCCGAATCTCGAGCCGAAACAAGACTACGCCTTGAGGTATCCGAGGTATACGAATTACACGAGAAGGTACACGTCAATAAAACAATATTTGGAGAATTCGATTTCAGTTTATGAAGAGGTAGTCATTCACAATGGCGGATTACTCTATGTATCACGCTTTAGGGCAAGGCGAACAATATGATCCTAATAATCCCAACCGAACGACTCAACCCGCCCCTCCGCAATTCCAACCCCCCGTTGCCCAAAATCCCTATCAACAAGGCGTTGGCTATGGCTCTCCTGCACCTCCCCCGGGTCAACAATACTATGGGAATGCTGCTCCGCCTCCCGGTGGCCCTTCGCCCGTAGCCGTACCCCCACAAGATGGAGGTCTTTCTGCACAGATGGCAGGAATGTCAATAGGAGATGGCCAACATTCGGCGAGGAGGAAGAAGAAAGATAGACATGTGTTCCATGCCGTGGAAGCTCCGGCTGGTTCTTCGCAAGCGTATAATGGTATACCGCCGGTAGGGACACCTGCTACGGCTTTCTTAAACGCAGATCCCTCCGTACAGCCAGGCAGCCAGTTCATTGGACAACCAGCTGTGCCAAACCAATTCCCGGCCCCTGTCAACGCACCTTTCAACCCCGCGATACCAGCGACTCCAGCCGAATTTGCTGCAAGAAGTGGTCAGGTTGATCAGGGCCATGCGCCCGCCTTCGTACCAGCGTCAGGGGGAGGACAGGTTTCGCCAGATGATGTCCCTAGTGTGCCAGTGTCTAGGGATGTACCACAACAATACTATCTTAGCAATGTATATCCAACCTTCGAGCGTCATGTTCCTCCTCCGGCTACCGTCTCCTTTGTCGCCTACGACCAAGGCAATTCTTCGCCAAAGTTTACTAGGTTGACGATGAATAATATCCCATCCAATTCTGAAGGCTTAAACAGCACCGGTCTGCCTTTAGGCCTTATCTTACAACCCCTAGCCCGCCTTCAACCTGGTGAGATGGAGGTTCCTGTACTTGATTTTGGGGACGTTGGACCGCCGAGGTGTCGGAGATGCCGTGCTTACATCAACCCTTTCATGATGTTTCGTTCAGGGGGAAGCAAGTTCGTGTGTAACCTATGTACCTATCCTAACGATACCCCTTCGGAATATTTCTGTGCGACAACTCCGCAAGGCGTACGAGTTGACCGGGATCAGCGACCGGAGTTGACGAGAGGTACCGTCGAATTTACAGTACCTAAAGAGTACTGGACGAAGGAGCCGTCAGGTCTTCATTGGTTATTTGCTATCGATGTCACTCAAGAATCATACAACAAGGGGTTTTTAGAAGCCTTTTGCGAAGGTATACTTGCCGCACTCTACGCTCCGGAAGGAGGCGACGAGACAGATGAGAATGGCGAACCGAAACGACGAATTCCACCTGGTGCTAAAGTCGGATTTGTCACATATGACAAGGACATACATTTTTACAATTGCAATCCCGCCCTGGAGCAAGCGCAAATGTTGATAATGTCCGACCTTGAGGACCCCTTTGTACCACTTAGCGACGGACTTTTCGTTGACCCATACGAATCAAAAGCGGTCATCACGTCGCTGCTTGCGCGATTACCGACATTGTTCGCCGATATTAAAAATCCGGAGCCCGCCTTACTACCTACATTGATCTCATGTTTGGCCGCATTAGAAAAAACTGGAGGAAAAATGGTGTGTTCGCTGTCTGCGTTACCCACTTGGGGTCCTAACCGCCTTTTTATGAGAGATGATGGGAAGTATTCAGGGGGCGAAATCGATAAGAAACTTTTCACAACTGATCATCCCGCGTGGAGGAAGATCGCCGAGAAGATGGTTGCAGCTGGTGTTGGTATTGATTTCTTTTTAGCCGCACCCTCTGGTGGATATCTAGACGTAGCCACGATTGGTAAGCATAATAAGCAGCGCATAGTACTATCGTCAATCAGACTAACAATTTATAGGTCATGTCGCGTCCACAACTGGCGGAGAAACATTTTATTACCCCAATTTCGTAGCTGGCCGCGATAACGCGAAGCTCTCTCTAGAGATCAAGCACACAGTCACTAGAGAAACAGGTTATCAGGCATTGATGAAAGTTCGATGCTCTAACGGTCTCCAGATATCGGCATACCACGGCAACTTTATACAACATACCTTCGGAGCCGATCTTGAAATAGGAGTCATAGATGCCGACAAGGCCGTGGGTGTTACGTTTGGTTATGATGGAAAGCTCGATTCAAAACTTGACGCTCATTTCCAGTCCGCCCTATTGTATACGACCGCCTCCGGCGAGCGACGAGTAAGGTGTTGTAATGTCATCGCAAGTGTCAGCGATAACGCAAGGGAATGCATGAAATTCGTTGACCAAGATGCCGTATACACAATCATTGCCAAGGATGCCGCTTCTAAACTGGCCGCGACTTCTACTTCCCTTAAAGACATAAGACTAGGCCTAACAGAAAAGACGATTGATGTTCTGGCTGGATATCGTAAGAATTTCTCCTCTCAGCACCATCCGCCAGGACAGCTTGTCATGCCGGAGAAGCTTAAGGAGTTCTCGATGTACATGCTTGGTCTGATCAAATCCCGCGCTTTCAAGGGAGGAAACGAGACCTCCGATCGGAGGGTACATGAGATGCGTATGATCAGTTCAATGGGCGCTCCAGAACTCAGTCTGTACCTGTACCCTAGAATGATACCCATTCACAACCTTAACCCCGAAGACGGGTTCCCCGACAAAGACACTGGCTACTTGAAAGTGCCACCAGCTATTCGTACGTCGTTCAGCCGTGTTGAACCAGGAGGAGTCTACCTTGTAGACAACGGGCAACAATGTTTACTATGGTTCCATTCCCAAACCTCGCCCAATCTGCTGGCGGATCTGTTTGGTGAAGGCAAGGATAGCCTCAGCTCACTTGACCCGTACAGCTCTTCCTTACCGGTCCTGCAAACGCATCTTAATGCCCAGGTCCGGAACATAATCGAATTCCTCAAGACCATGCGCGGTTCTAAGGCGTTGACAATTCAACTGGCTAGACAAGCAATTGACGGGGCTGAATATGAGTTCGCAAGATTGTTGATTGAAGATCGCAACAACGAAGCGCAAAGTTATGTGGACTGGTTAGTACACTTACATAAGGGCGTACAACTTGAGGTAGGTTAATCTCTTATTGCTGCTCATCGTGATATGCCGAAAGTCATACAGGGTGATCCCGGTTACTCAAGGAGCAGATGAGAAACAGTTGCTAACATTGGTCAATGCAGTTGGCTGGGCAAAGACGAAAAGAAGGCGATGAGCATAGTTCCCTGGCATCCACGTTCCAGGGATTAAGGCCACAATACTGGTAGCATGCCATTCACAAGGACAATCCTAGACATACGCATACAAATAACCTTGGACCCAAGGATCCGGCAATTGGGAAATGTTCTAGATCTTGTCCGAGAGCCTCAAGAAGAAGCGATTCTGGATTTAAGGATACATAGATATGGTTATTCTACCCCTCGGTTTCACCACCTCGATGTCAGATCATATCTATTAAAACAAGTGGTACTGCGTTGTACCCCCATACCAAAGGATCAACCCCGTCCCTCTTTGATGTTTGGTGATTCCAATGCAAATTTGTGTCGCCCAGCCTTCCAAATTGAGACATGTCAATCATGGATTACTAGTTTTTTTTCCCCGGCAGAACTAACTCATTGACACTATGGTAAATCACCTTCCTGTTCATTCCAGTGGGAGTGAGGAAGATCTAGTTTCGGCCGAAAGACCCTGCATCTCGCCTGTGACTGCAGCGAAGCAAACAACCTAACGGAAATGATGCCCGAGACATCTGAAATAAGCCGACTGCCTCCTTCCGCACCAATAATTAGTAACGGCCGTGAGCCCCGATTTTTCTGTAGGACTCATCGGTCCAGGGTGTTTGCGCTCAGTCTTGAAAAATTTCATGCCGATATCACTTTAGACAGCCTTACGTCTTATTATTACTAGGGATATGTCAAAACCGCATGACCTCTTAGTAACAATTCCAAGTTATACATATCACCTTAAATTTCGTAAGGGTATAATATAAATTTCTAGCCTATTGATCTCAGATATTCAAGCACTAGTACTAATTGGCGAAACTCTACAGTCATACCTCCTAACATTGTAAACTTGCCTACACTTGAGGAACCGTGCAGGGAATATCGTAATTTTAAACGTTAGCCACATGATGCTATAGTTTTTTTTTGAAATCCAAACTATGCTATACATGCGGTCAACAAGGCTAAGTTTTTCAGTGAACGATGAATCCACAGGTTTAATTAATAACCTCAGTCAACCTTAACGACCCTTTTACTTAGGAAGGGAATCCTAACTACCTATCATAACACAAACAGATATCTCACCATGTAAAATCACTCACGCAAAACTTAACTTTAGCTCCGTAGACTGAAGCCGTTTCATAATCAGCTTGGGTCACCGGTGATACCAAACGGGTCTGCTGTAAGCCGCATTGATAGCTTCAACCTATCATAAGAAAGTCTCACAGTTCCTGGACCAATGAAAGACCCTGGAATTCGTAAACTATACATTACGAGACGCCATGCACGGGCAAATGCTTCGAGCCGTCCCGTTAGCAAAATCATTTGTAGGCTGTGTGGGTCTCATATTTTCTCAAGATCGCCCAAGTCGATTTCATTTTCACCTTGTGATGTGATCATAGAAAATATATCCATTCGATATGTCATATGCATGTCGCGGCATTTCCTTCTAGTTTAGAGCATCCCGTATAAGACTCGGCTGCTTGCGGAGCATGGACGCCACTGGGGATCAGATGGTGTACTAGAGCCTTACCTTACAACGGTTATCTTACAATTTAATATAACCAGGTTCCAGCTTCTCCCCCCTTTCTATGAGTTACTATGACGGAATCCAGAGTCTCGGAATCTTGCGCTATAATTCTGGGCCGTATTGTGACTCGGCAGTATACAGGAGCACAAGCCCACAACTGATGGGATCTAATCCTTCAACAACACTGTGCGATGATGTGGGCAAGATAGCATGTATAAGCCACCAATTTCAATTTACACTAAACAATGTTGGTATCTTTGATCTCGGGACCTCCGTATCGTGAGCCCGCTCTTCGGGCACATGTGTATATACCTTCTCATAAATTCAGCCTATCAATCTACCTAGACAACACGGCTCGTTGTGTTACCCATAACCACAAAGGCATTGACCCTGCCAGTCAAGAACCCCGTGGCAGTTTCTAATTTTCTAGGTGGCTGAAACACACTTCCAGAAGAGTCAGACTTGCATGAAAGAGGCTTAGTCCACATGGTTAAATCAGAACCTTGGAGGATATCGGACTCGCCTATCTGAGACCTCGAAGCGTTAGCATATTTTTTGCTTAGGTCGACTCAGGGGCGAGACATGTGAGCTAGGATATTAGGTAGCCTACATACATACGGGATCAACGTCGTGTCCTCTTACAGCGTAGGGCAACGCCCCGAAACCCTTGATGCTTACATGCGTCTCCTATACAGTTGCGCTATCCGGAGACAGACGCCAGCCACTTCCATGTAAACGTCATGCCATTCTGATAGCTTATCTTCTCATGGCTGAGATGGGCTCATTTTGCGAGGCTAGATCACACGTATACTTACCAGGAGGTTTTAGTTTGCTCATATGTGCATATGCATGTATGTCCAGAGAATACTACTTCCCACCGACCGGCCTGGTTTGTCCTTACCTACAAGCAGATCATCTAAGTAATAAACTATATACAACACCGCCCTTACGACTACATTACGACGACATCAAACCGGCGAAAGTAAGGATAGGAGCAATCAATATTATGTGCTATCAGTACCGATTCCCCGTTCAGGGAGCCTTCCCACCAGATATTGGGATCATCCGCACAATACATTCAGGGGATAGGGCATGTGATAGCAAAGTATTACTGATTCTGTGACCGAGTTGCCCCTAAAGGTTCTCATCATCTCATCTACCTACCTAGCTATCCCGGAACATCGAGCCTTGCATCTTGGCTTGATATCTTAACAAGCCCCCTAACCACAGCCTGCATCGTTGTGGACTCATGTGACCTAGTCCCAGCAACAAATGAATAGCACATTGTCACTTATGGCTTTCCAGACCGGAGTTCGCCTCATAGTTCACCTCTCAGGATACAGCCAAACTCAGGGATGACGCAAGGGGACTGAGAACGTGTACTGGATCGAAACCGGCCGGTCGAGTATATGCTTGAGTGCTCATTTTCGTATCAGAATTCGACAACTCAAATGTGACAGTGGCAAGAATGCGCATGATTGGAAATCACCGAGCCCAACTGATCGTCCTCGAGGCTCTGTCACACTACAGCCACCCTACCTACCTATGGAAAGAACCAGATAAACTTACGATGTCCTGTTTCATATCATAGGATACAAGCGCCTATCATGAGATGATACTTATATCATTACGTAGTAGCCCAATTAATATAAACTAAGTGATTAGAGTACACGAGAAAGCAGCGCATCTCCCAACCCTTTACTCGATTTTTTTTCTACCACGCACCTCACCGCAGAAACCTTGACGAACCCTTGATGAATCCCCTAGCCTATAGGATGTAATCAATCTAGGAACCAAGAAAGGAGAAGACAACACCGCTACCCACCCCCATATCCGACCGGATCGCCGGGTCGATTCCGTCCACATGGGATTGTACGACGACTCGACGTTGTGTAATGGCGCACGAGAACCCAACGTTTCTCGGCACCGCGAACCCCTACCTAGATACACCTTGGCTCCATCACGACGTCAGCATGGAGATGTCGTACCTGGGATCAGGCCGGCTCAGCACGCTCTGGATCTCACCGGCATCGAACACGCGCGAGAAGATCTCGAAGTCCGTCGGCGGCGCCCCAGAACCACTCCCAGACCCCGAGCTCGAGCTCACCGAAGCCCTCGACTTGCCCTTCGATCCATGGCCATGGCTAGAGCTACCATGACTACTCCCCCTACTCTTCTTCGCGATATCGTCGAGGATCAACTTCGCAGTACTCTGATACTGGTCCTCGAACACGAACGCAACATAATCGAAGCGCCCACGAATATCAGGGTCGTAGAGAAACACATCGCGCCACAGCTCCGCGAGTTCCTGGGGCGGGTTGCGGTGGCCGTTTCCAAGCCCGAAGTCGCCGATGACGACGGTGCGGTGGTCGTAGAAGGCGCAGATGCGCAGGGCGGCGCGGATCTTGTTCTTGACCATCTCGCGCTCGAGCGGGAAGGCGTACTTCGCGCCGCCGTGCGACAGCTTCGGCCACCGCGCCGCGGGCATGCTGACGACGGCCAGATCGTGCCATTGCTCCAGCTTCTTGTACTGGTCGTGCGGCCCCCGGAAGACTACGACTGCTTCGGAGTAGATGCCCCCTTCGGACGGGATCGGGTAGTTGTTGTCGACTTGTGACCCGGGCCCGGGTGTGCTGAGGGTCGCGGAGAGGGTGCTGCGTCTGCAGAGGCGCTCTTCGTAGCCGACCTGTGGAGGTTGGAGTTGAAGTGATAAGTATATATATCGTAGATTTCTAGGTAAGGACTTTTATATGTGGAAATAGGGGGAAAGGGGCGAAAAAAGGAGAGAAAACTTACTACTCCTGTCTCCCAATCTCCCCCGGGTCTCTTATCGTTTGCCGCGCATATAAACGGTATTCTAAGGTTAACTTTGATCTTCCAGTTGATTGTGAAATCAACGGGGTCTCCGGAGGCGATATCTGTATAACGTGTTAGGGTAGGACAGAGATCAGGTAACTACCTAGGTAGGCATGTTTAGCACTTACAGAATTCAGGTGGTGACGGAGAGACGCCACTCATGGAGCTCTGCATGGGAATCTGCTGGAGCGGCTGTTGGAATAGGTAAGAGTGAGTTGGCCATGCTTGTGCATATTCGGATTTTATGATCGGTATGTAGTGACGCTTCGTCTCGGCGGCGACTTCAGATGGCTTTGGTTTCGAAGAAGGCATCTTAGACAGACTGATGGTTTCTGGTAGGTCATGTAGAGAGATCTTTCGGATGATTGAGTGGCTGGCTGATCTGGCTGATCGATTGATGGTCGAAATGCACTTCAAGAAACTGGATCTTGATATGATCTTATAAGAAAATCCCACTTGGACCGGAATGCAGCTACATTAGCCACCTATAATGATAGCCTTAGGGAGAGGTAGACGTAGAGTCATAGTCATGTTCACTCAGGTTATTAGCAACTTCCTTCTTGGTAGGCACAGTCAGCGGCCGGGAGAGACTGTGTTACCAATATAGGATGATTGCTCCTATCGAGTCCACTATGTCCTAGACATTGAGATGAAAAGACTTCAGACCATAGGTTAAGTGGCTCGCTTTCCATAATATAGCCCACAAAACAGCTTCCGCACCGCCTTTACCTACATGGGATTCTGCTAGCCTAGGAACCTGGGAGAATTAGACATCTGTCTCTGTGACACAGCTCGGTTCCCAGGTAAACGGAATCGCTGTTCCAGTCGAAGATCAGGATACACTGCAGATAACCGAAGTCGGACAGATCTGGTACTCCAACGAGTGCAGCATCGTAAAAGCATCTGCGGGCTAAACGATAGAGTTTACGAGTTGTCATACGTTCTCTTGTGAGAAGTTCAAGAATAGATACGGTACTATTTAGTGCCTTCTCGCATCTATAGAATGTGATTCTTTGACGGATGGGAATAGTTACATTACCAGAAGTCCCTAGATAACTACTAGGTAGGTAACTAACTAGGGTTATGAGAGTACCTAGTAGTCGCAAGCAAGCATCCTCGATGGCGTCGTCGGATATAGGCGAGCTTCGTTCGGCCTTACTACTTTTTACTCGTGACTCACGAAGCGAGATATGTAGGTACCTATATCTTATGACGTACGTGAGATCGTTAACGATTACGTATCTGCTCGAAGGGGTACTTGACAAACATGGCGTTGATCACTCTAGGTAGTATCAATACAACATGTTTGCCATTGATGTGATGTACGCCTGTGTATAAAATTGCTTTTTTTCATCCCATCCTCATATTCATCCATGTCCATGTCGAGAGATCATGACACACCGAATACCTAAGATAAGTCTTAGATTGTTTCACAGCCTAGCGATAAGTAAGTCCTCGATGTAGGATAGAAACGATCACTTCGGAATTTGAGACGGATAGCGCAAATTTGTGTTGTTGTTTGTGGAATGGTAAAAAAAAAAAGTTTTTGAGATGACGAATTGACTACTTCGGTTGGATGATAGCAACGTCGAGGTTGGTGATGACTAATACAGATATGACTCGGGAATAGCTTCTTTCCTATTATGGATTGGTGGATCCTCTTTAGGCGCTAGTATAAACTGGGTCCTTCAAAAATCGACGTCTAAGCTTTGGCCGAAGTATATCCGAGAAAAGTATTCAATATTCTCCATATTTTTTTCCTTCATCAACACCAAACCTCATTCACCCTTGTAACTGAGAAGTGAACCACAATATACAACATTGAACCTTCAATTAATCAAATATGCGCGCGTAATGTCCTCAAAAGGTTCTAGGTCACCTGATTCTTTCAATCATCTCATGATTAACCGTATGAGATGAATTCTCTTCTTCCGCTCCTAAGAGGCGCATCGCCGAGATATCCCTACCCCTTGAGACTCTCATCTAGTGTAGTGTCACGATCACGAGCTTTCATATCTACCAAGGTCCCGACAAATATCTCTGGTTTCCTCGATTTTAAGCCGCAAGATGCTGTCTCAGATGTGAAGATTGACGGTTTCGTTCGGTCCGTCCGTGCACAAAAGCAACAATCTTTTGTAGCTCTTGGGGATGGTTCTTCTCTTGAATCACTTCAGGCTGTGGTGCCTAATGATCAGGCCGAAGGGTAGGACATCCAAGTTTGGCCAGAAACCTTCCGTGGCATTCGCTCTCGCTAATTGTGTTATCAATAGTCTGACTATCGGGGCCGCTGTCCGACTACATGGGTCTTGGATCCCATCCTTGGGTCGCGGACAGAGCCATGAGCTACAAGTTGAACGAGCCACGGTGCTGGGACCGTCTAACGCTAAGGTTTGTTTAAGCTTAATGTCTAGCCTTCTCACCTCAAGCGCCTATGTGGTGTGACTTACATCTCCATAGACCTTTCCGATCCAGAAGAAATATCAAACTCCCGAGTATCTAAGGACCTTACCCCATCTTCGTCCTAGGATACCGTTTAATACTACCGTTCTTCGATTTCGCTCTGAGATCATGGCATCGCTAACTGGCTTCTTCGGAACCCGCGATTTCATACAGACTCACACTCCTATTCTCACATCGTCAGATTGTGAAGGTGCCGGTGAGGTCTTTCATGTGTCGGCTGGCGATCCTAGTCCATCGCTTCCAGAATCTAAGACACCTCAACCCAAACCCTTCTTCCGCCGTCCCGTCTATACGACTGTATCGGCTCAGTTACATTTAGAGGCTCTGGCTCAGGCTCTCGGTAATGTGTGGACGTTGTCTCCGACCTTTCGTGCAGAGCAAAGTAATACTCCGCGCCATCTTAGCGAGTTTTATATGCTTGAAGCAGAAATGAGCTTCACTGACAGTCTGGACTCCGTGATGGACCTTGCAGAAGGTATGTTGAAACATATCTGCACCGATCTGAGTACGTCAAAAGTCAAGAATGAGCTTTTAGTGCGAAGAGGCGAGCGAGCGTCAGATTTTGCTACACCAGAACAAGTCGAACAGCGTTGGGCAGGCATTCTACGACCGAACTGGCCTCGTATTACCTACACTGAAGCTATCGAGATATTGAAAAGTTCCGATACAGCTTTTACCCATAGCCCTGTTTGGGGCCAGGACCTTCAAACTGAGCATGAGAAGTATATCGCGATGAAGGTGGGTAATGGTAGTCCGGTATTTGTCACGAACTATCCACGTGATATCAAGGCTTTCTACATGAAGGCTAATGTGGGAGATTGCGAGAAATCCCCACCTGGTGCGACGGTCGAATGCTTCGACCTCCTCGTACCAGATTTCTGCGAAATTGCTGGCGGGTCTATGCGCGAGCATCGACTGGACAATCTACTAGAGTCCATGCGCGCCCACGGGATAGCTCCAGCACCCCCGGATGATGCTGTCGAGTCAGAGTCGCCGCAATCGGTTGAGAATAACCTTAACTGGTACGTCGATCTACGGCGCTGGGGCTGTCCTCCTCATGGCGGATTCGGCGTAGGCTTCGATCGGCTGATATGCTATCTCTCCGGCGTCCAAACAATACACGACACTTCCGCGTTCCCCCGCTGGTACGGCCGATGTGATTGCTAAACACAATATGATGGCGGGCATGCCGTGCTCGTTAATGCTTACTTCTCTGGGACGTGGGGAGTGTCTCGTACAACCCTCGCACAACGCGATATTGACTCAGCTTGACTGCCGAACAAGCTTTGTGGCGTCTGTTGTGCGTTGATTCGGACCTCACGAGGACAGAATCAAAGTCTGAGGCTAGTTTTGACAGGTCCCAGACACAGCATCTCATTCTTGTGTCGCTTCATCCAGACTTCACTTGCATTTGAATGGAGTCATCGTATGCTTCAAAGGGAGCATCCGCAATCTCTACCCACAGGCCCGAGCTTAGTGCACTACGAAACTAAGGGTAACTCGAATAGTGCTACCGGTCTATGATAGGAGGATCAAAATCTAAGGAGCAACAAGCTCTAAGCTATTGCTATATTGCAATTGCATAGGTACCTACCCAAGTATAAAATAAGAAAGAGGCCTTGTACAATACAAAGAAACCACACATTAGGTAACTTCGTTCCTCTCCCATCTCCGTGTTGTCGAACCCGTCTATGACTTCACCGTCGGCAATAGGTAGATCGATAGGCTCGTCGATGGAGTTTCCCCCTGACTCGGCAGTTGGGACATTGGCTCGTCGCATCACAAACCCACCACTTTCAATTCCGATCGGTGAATATTGGTATGGGCTCCGAAGAAGTACAACATATGAGAGGTTTTCCTTGCGGAGGATCCACAAGCATGATAATTAGTCCTACACTTCCCTTCCCTCTCTAGATTGACATTCGGTGTGAACACCTACGACCCTATTTTGCTAGCAGGGCACCTTAGAGCCTGATATACCTCAATCCTCTATCTTGGTGGGTACAAACTGTATTCACGAGACTGTCATTGGTACGGCCGAAAGGGAGCAACCATCTGGTGTCCGAAAGCGAAAAGCATTTTCCGTAGCCGACTTGCTTTGCGCAACTAGGCCACTGATAACCAGATAGGTAGGCTTCGATATACACATCTGTAAACACCTATCTAAGCCGTAAAAATTCGTTTCCCGCAAGCCTGACCGGCCCAGCGATGGAATCGCCCCGCGGCTCGGCCGTTTTCTACGGCCCAGCATTCGGTTTATTACTACGCAATTCCTCATCGTTCGGCTTGCAAGCTTACGCCCACGTTATGCCGGTAAGGATGGATTAAGGCCATATGACCGCACCATCAATCTTTTTGGGCTATATTGACGTTTCATTTGATGCAAGGAATGTTGAAGTGGCTATCCATTAAAAGCGCGGTCCAAAGCTGTCATGATGCAGTTGGCCTTAGACTACTATGCAATGTTGCCCCCCTAAATTACCCTTAGCTTCGTTGGTTTCATCGCGATAGAGTGCAGTATATGCACGTAGGCAGCCTTAACCGCCTGCCAAGAACGAGCGCTATTTGGACCAGATAGGGGTGACATTGGGCTGCGGTGTAATTCCCGGCGCAAAGAAAAGAAAGGTTCACCATCGGCAGATTCCCCCCTCGTCTAGCTTTGGGGTTGATCTACCCGTTTCCCTCGTAACATCCATCACTATCACCATCTCGTCCTAGGTTAGCTGGTGGCATGCGTATAGGCTACGTCGTCCCTATCTAACTCTACAACAGTGGGGTTGGTTTCTCAAAGACCGCGCGAAAGACTGTCGCCAAGCTGCTGCATTAGGTAACAAAGCCGCTACCAAGTTTGTCGATTCGTCATCGAGGAAGGTTGTAGGGGGTTTCCTTACTTAGAGCAGCTGATGAATTACTGCGCGTGGCCGAATGAAGGACGGGCTTATCCACGAAATCTCTGTACTCCCGAGATGATTCACGTGTATCCGGGGTGCAGGATTACCTACCTTGATCACTGATCACTGATGCGATTTGAACCCAGATCCTGATCAGCCCATGTGTCCACCCTTAGGGCCTGGGCTTGCTCTTTGGCAAATAACAATCCGCCCGAAGAATATTTCAGCTTTTGGGCTTGGTTAAACGCCGTTTCTTCGTACCATAGTAACACACTCAGAAGCTTGGCGTTTTCTTGACATTTCTTGGCTTCACTGCTAAGCATAGTGGTGGAGTATTGGTATGCTAGTTACGAATTTATTATTAAAAAGTACCCCAAACCTCGCGGCACGGGTTTGATACCGGGCGTAATGTTAGGCTTTTTCAATATATCGTGCAGCGCCATTCGAGAGACGCGGTACCTACCTGGTGGCTAGTTTTTACCTACCTGGCTAGCTTCTTCTCCATCTCTGCCTATCGCGATCTCAGCGGCTTTTGCCGTCGTTACTCTCCTTACGCATTTATCCCCCGTGACCCATACTGCCATAATAGGTAGTGAATGGGATCGCCGGCGGGAATTTCTCCATTTCGCCGTCGATTTGCTGTAATTTTCGGAAGGCAAGTTTCTGATGGTGGTATACGATGTTCCACCTCGCGGAGATATGGACCCTACAAAGCATTAGTTTTAGGCTCGAGGCTCCGAAGCGTGCCGATCCCAGGAAGAGGTTAAACAATGCAATAAGCTACTACGACGAAGGCCAGCTACCACCTACTGTATTATCTACCGGCCGGCCGACAATCACTAACAGCTGCTGATGAGTATCACCGAAGGGGCCGCGTCAGCACATGACACAGGGAGTTTTGCTGTTAGAATAAGGTGGGCTTGGTGGGGAACACGGCGTTCGACCCAATGAGAGGGGGCCATCGAATTTTGCATATCTGCGGGTTGTTGTGCTTGGCTCTGCCGAGATTCTCGAGCTTCTTTTCCAGAGCCAAGCATGGGCAAGGGAAACCCAAGAATGCGCCAAGCTCGCTGACCAAGGGCTCGGCATGGCCCCCCTTTCGCTGTTTTACTATTTAAGGGGGGGCGCGCTAGGACAAATACAACGTGAGTGGCACCCCCGTCGACGTTTCTGATTTGATTAGACTCCCTGTCCTTGAATTAAGCTTAAGCTTCTCCATCGTTCGAGGGTGGGTTGCATGGCTTTTTCGGAACATGGCTTCGGCTTGGGGGCAGAAAAAAATAGTACTGCGTAGGGAAAAAATAAAATAAAATAAAATAAAATACCTAGCATTAAAAGAAACAAACGCAGAGAAGTATGTATGTACTACCTATGTAGATCCCGTTTGTCATCCATCTCCGACAACTACAATACTAGGTATTCGGTATAATATACAAGGGCAAGTAGAAAGTTGATTTCCGACAAATGACAACGGGCTCTCGTCACAATATCGAAGGGTTTCGTTGTCCATTTTCATTTCCTGGTCTTCCGAAAGAACGCCTTAATCCCGGCAATCTCCAACTCGATCCCCCAAAACGGGCTGAGGCGGGTGACGGTAACAATCAACGGGTATGACGGAGAAATAATAATAATTAACTTCATGATATTGACATCACGTCATCTGTCTTAAGACGCCTCTTCGCTCTATATGGCTGGGCGGGCTAGCTAGCTGGGATTGGCATTTTGCCTATCAGGAAAGTATTCAATCATCATCATGTTTACTTCATTCACATGTGACAGTATCGGTTGCTCCTCTTTTGACTCGCTATTACCGGAAACATAGGAGTTGGGTAGGAATAGGCACAGCGCAAGTAACCGGCGGCCAACGACCGGTCTTTCTTGGCTCCCATGACTCCGCGAGCATTGCTTGGTATGCTATAGGCTAATCGATACGAAAGATGCCGCCGTACCGTAAAGCGATGCCTAGAATGGACTTATGAAGGGAAATGCGAAATGCGTTGATGCGAATAGGCCTAGCGGTGGACCTTTCAAAGCAGACAACGTCAGTCAGTCAGTCAGCGGTCAGCCGGGCTACCTTACGAGGGCATTAGTAGTAGTGGTCATTAGCGAGCGGCGGCGAAGCAGGCGTCTGAATAAGATTGCGAACTATCGGTGTGGGGTGCGAATCAGCATCTTTACCAACCGCAGGATAGAGCTGAGAAGGGGGCTAAGATCAACAAAGTACATGGTACATATATCCAATACATATATGTATTAGTCTATACATTGCCTACAGCGTACATACATACGACGTACATTCGCATATAATAAGTGCTTTTCGAATACTATACGAGAGGTATGTAGACATGTAAGTAGTCTCCGCCGCCGGCATGGCTTTTGGAGACCGAACCGGACAGGAAGATGGAGAAGTTCTGATATGATGTATGTAGGTATGTACGGAGTTACGTACACGTTGACTCTCCTGTCACCGAACGTTTACATAGTCTACTATATGTAGGTATGCAATATTAAATACACAGCGCAAAATGCCGCGCCAATTAGAACACAAGGAGACTTACCAATGGTTACATCCTGTTACACAGAGCTTACATATTGCAGGTCTGTGCCGCTCTGTGTAATGTTCCTCGATAAGGGGAGGATCTATTTCAGCGGTCGGCAAGTCGCATAGTCGACCCTTGGATGTGTTGCTGTAAGACAAAAAGCCGCCAGGTATGTATGCTGTCTACCTGGACGTGCTTTCGTACGCCCCCAATTGCGTATCGTATATGACATATTATTGAAGGATTTATCATGGTAAGGTTTAATGGACTATTGCGCAGCTGAAGACCGAGTTATTACAATTTTACAATGGTTAAATTAAACTATTATACCTTGCCTCTTGAGAGTCCAGCGTATCTAACACTGCAGTAAACCCCGGTCCGAGTAAAATGTGATTTGTGCTGGGGCTTATCCAAAACATCCTAGCCGTTGGTACGCTGAACGTGTTCATGTTTCTTTACCCTGTTCAATGCTGGGATTCTTTGTTGTCGACCTTCGAATCTTGGCTGCTTTTAGTATTTACTCGGGAAGGGTTCCTGGGTTTCCATGTGGGATTGACGGCACATCCCCCATGCCTTTCGGCCGACCTTGTTTCGTCTATCCGTCATTCTTCACCGCCGCCGGGTTTCAGACTTATGGATGATTACACGTCCCCAACCCCAACGATCGGAATGGGGCGGCCGAAGGTTGACGTTCGAACCCGGGCATAAGTTGCTCGATAGAGCGGCGCTTACTCACGATAGGGTCATATAGGTCATACGAGCTAGGGCTTCCATTCAGGATCGTATGGTCCTGTGACGGAATCTGCATCGTCAGCTTGCCATGCCATGCCAACATTCGAAAGCTGACTTGCAAAGAAAAAAAAAAGAAAAAAATATCTAGGTTTACGTTCCTTCGGGTCTCCTCCCGCCTGGCTACACTACGGACGGCTAGGCGACCCGAATCGAATCCCAACGATTGATTCGAGAATCCCGGAGGCCTGGGATCCAAACTTCTCCGATCTACCTTCGTTCCCGCGTTAGGTATCAACTGGCGAGCCTCAGTTACACACGGTATGCACATAGAGGGAGTGTTGGGAGGGCAGAGGGTACTGGGTAGTAGAGTCTCTTGAGGATTACGCGCTCGGGTAATCCTACGTATTTTTTTCCAGTCTTGTATAACAACACCAGGTTTGCCGTCGCGCTATAAAACCGGAGCCTTATGCGTGTGTGTTACATCTTGCTTTTGATGGTCTTTTGTGCGAGGATATGCGTGATTCGTTTTCTAGGCTTCGAGGCTAATGCACTCCAGACGCAAAGTTGTTGCATCTGGCCACTTGCAGGTGCCATTATCGTCATCGCATGCGTGGTCTAGTGAGAGGTTGGATGAATCAGATCACGGCCTAAACATGCATAACTCATATATTACCATGTTGTTACCGAGAAATCTCCAGTAGCTTGTTCATATCGGCGAGTTTGACTCCACGATGCGGTGCCCGAGAGTTTAATCCGTATTATACCCTCTAGGCTCTACTATATTCTGTACTGCCGATGAAGATCTTCGGCTTTAAGATAGAGTGGGAGTGGTCCGTGGGCGCGTTAGTCTTACCGATGGGAAAATCCAGCTGACGATAGAAGGATAAAAGAAAAAACAAGTAATATCCATCCAGATTCAATAAAGTATGGGCGCCGAACCCGAACGGAAACGCTAGTAAGCTGACTGTTTAACGTCATTGCCAGATAGACTCAGATGCGGTGTCTAAGCCTAAATAGGACATCATAAGAGTCTACATTATATCTTGTGTATTGCGTATCATACATATGCGCATACATATATCGTGTATACTACCTAGGACTTAGGTAGATAACCATGCATGCGTGCTAGGCACTACATAGATTTAAGTGTTGTAGGTAGGTAGGTAGTCAATACATACGAGAGGGAGGGGCACATCGTCAGTGCCAACAGAAAATTTAACTCATCCACGCATCCACGCGATGCTAAATCGATCGGATAAGTTGCCTAAACTAGGAACGTGTTTCACAAAAGCCTAGCCCAGCTGGTGTGTGGGCTGGCAAACTTGGCGGCTTTGACTCAGATTGGGAATAGATCCGGAACCCGAGGGAAAGGTACTGCCTAAAAAGCGACCAACATATTACCCTGTCCGTCTGGCGGGAATAAAATATTACGTGTGAAGGCGAAGAGAAGAAACAGGCCTAAAGGAGAAGGTGGGAGGAGAAAATAAGAAAAATAAGAAAAATAAGAAAAATAAGGTAGGGTCGAGTAGGGTCGAGGATGGTCAGGTAGGGTCAGGTAGGGTAGCATGGGGGTATCGAGGAGGGGAGATCGGAGGTTTCTTTTGACTTTTAAGCTTCGTTCGACTGTAATCTATCTTGCTTGCTGTCGCTGCAGGTTGGTCGGTTTAGTGTAACCACCCTTACTCACGCTGACATGCCCGAAGATGGGGGGGAGCTCATTTACCCTAAAGTACCTAAGCTATGTAGCAGTGTAGGTATTATTTTCTTGTAATAGGTAGCGCTTGAGGCGTGATAAGAAAGCTTGGTTATATTAAACAGCTCCTCTATTTGCCGACCTTCGTGCAACGCGCCTTTTAGTAATATGTTATGCGAGAATGGAAAAAGAGGTAAAAATGAATAATACTACCATGTAGCGGCTGAGAGAGAAGCCAATCGCATCGCCATGTTGCTGACTATTGATACCTCCTCTTTTCGGTAAGTTATCTCTTGTCATGTCTTTCCCGAGAACAGCACTTCGATATTTCGCTGCCTGCTGAGGCCATCTAGCCGAAGTCTTAGGGTCTTGGGCATCATCGTGAAATCCTACCTTGGCATTGGCTGCTTGGTACTTACTGAACTAGATAATGACGGTTATGCGGTTGTTTCGTGTTTCGCATAGACGAAAAAAGCGCCATCCTATACAAACTATTCAGTGTGGTTCCACACAATAAGGCTATAATTTAGAGTGTAGCGCCCTATATCGAGATACCCCGGGTCCGAGACAGACTAGAACGCGATGATCTCGATTTTCATTCCTAATCGAATTACCAGCGCCATGGTTGGTCGTACTTATTGCATAATAACCTTTGTCAGCCCTTTAAATAAAGCCCTCAGCTCTGTCAGTCCGCGGTAATCTTCCGCTCCCTTCTAGCGAGAAGCGCGGGATGAGCTTTACTTTTTTGGAGTACTTTCGTGACCGGTCATAGATAACCCTGTTGATATTCTGAAAGATGATATTCTCCCCAAGAAGAGGCGTCAACCCCCACGCCTCTGAGCGCATAGCACATAACAGTTCGCTGTGTAGCCCGTGTCAAAGCGGTCCAAAACGCCACAACGACGTAGAGGCTTGTAATATCGAATGTCCCAACGGGAAAACCAGCGGGGAAAGAATAAGCAAAATTCAACTGGCGTATCCGCCGTATCCTTAGTGTGCATAATACCTCAAAAGATTGGCTTCGCGCCATATAACTATTCAGGGGTCTTGGTTTAATTGCGCGTGCGTGCATTGTGTGGCGCAGAGGGCTGAACGAGCTAGAAAAGGAAGAAAAGGACGACGCGGCCGAGCGTAGTAGAGCCCTTGTCTAGTGAGGGAAGAGGGAGAAAAGAGAGAGTCAGAAAAAAAGGAGGGGTTGTCAACGTGGCGGTGGGCATTCTGCTCTTTTTTCGGACAAGCGAGCGCACGCCATTGGGTTCCAGCTCCGTGGGCCGGGGACCGGGAAAGATAATGCATGCCTGGGACTTGCGTGCGTGCGTGCGTGCTAAC